AATCTGAATGATTGTGGTTGAATGCCTTAAAACTGTCCGAGTAACTGATTGTGTTGGTTATATTGTGAGAATTCAGCCCGATAATGCTTCGTACAAAGTGTCGTTTGTCTGTATCGTGTGTTGGACAGCTCTGACACGATCTCAATTCCAGAGCTGGCAGGTCGGGTGTGGCATTCCAGGGTTTAGTGAAGTCCTGGCGTGGCGGACTTTAAAGTACATGTACGCTAAATTTGCCCATCAAAGTACAGATTCGGCATCTGGCACAATGACGGTGATTCACACTGAGCGGTTGGAAGTTGGTTGAGGCAAATTTTCCACCCTGGTTCTTAACTGACTCTTAAATAAATATAACTGCAATTCATCGATCTCCAAATTTGACCTATCAGCACGGCTTAAAAGCTTGAGCAAACTCATTGTACACCATCTGTTATTACCCGAATCGGTCTTAGCAACTGTTAATAAACGATGTGCACTATAAGGATGACCAAACTGCCTACAACCTCTGAGTGTCAGCTCAATTTAAGTAAACGACAAACAGCCCCCCCTAATCAAGTACCATTTGTCCAATAGCCTGCCTTCACTATGTGTGCAATGCCGAACCAACGGCCAATCGGATTTAGGAGATGCGCTAAACTTGTGCGTTGATTGCGGAAAAGGTAAGATTTAAGAGCCATTACCCGTGCACACTGCTATCAATTTGCAAAACCCACAAAATGTCGAAAACATCTGGCAGAGCTCTTAGGTAAATGAATTTGCAAAAGCGATTTATCAGTTATAAATTTATGGTAAATGCGAACCAACCACATGCCGAATTAACAACTAATCTGGGATTGTTTAGATGTCAAATTTTCGCACAACGTCAATTTCACACTACGTTAGCTAGATTTGCGACTTTTTGCAAACATCTACTGACGGCATCCGTTGGTTAACTTCTTGAAGTCTTACAACACTTGGATTGGTAACTTGAGTGGTCATGGAAACCGTTCAAGGCTACCACCACTACTTCCCAAGACAATGACGACTCTTAATTCAGGGCAAACACTACAGTGTTTAAACGATTAAAATAGCACCAAAAGGGGGATTAGACACTGGATGTAAGAGAAGAGGTGGCCAGCATTTGAAAAGCGCCACCCAGAGGAACAAGGAGGGCACACGTGTACGCCGACGTGATGAGGCTGGATCAGCCGCAAACTGCGCTAGTTCGGAATGGAGGCCGTAAACGCGAATTCCCAACCCCGTGCAAGCAACGACGATCAGAAGCGGTGCGTGCGAAGGACTTGGGCTGTAGGCTGTGTGCACCTCTGAGGGTTCCAGGCACGTGGTGCTGTCGAAGGTGGGGAGAGGGGCAAGGCAGTTTGCAGTACAAATACGTCAAAGCAATCAACGGGGCATCGTGTCAATGGTGAAAAAAAAGCAGAGGATGGTCTGTACAAGGTGGATGGAAGTGGGATGGCTGTGCGTCGATTGGTCAGATGTCAGCTGATTGGTCCGACCCGTTCGGCGGTGTCTTGAGATTACGTAGAAACACTAGGAGGAAAGAGAGGGGAAAAGGGTGGTGAAGACGCTGTCTCTACAACTCAACTCTAACAGAGAGTGGCAACGCCACCTACTTCAATTCAGAAGGCGATGAAGGAGTGTTTTTGGTGGTGACGGTGGCGGCAGCCGAGTTGCCATTTATCTGTGATGACGACGTCGAGGGGTGCACGACGGTCAAGCACTGGGTCTTTGTAGCGGTGGTTGCCACAGGAGGACACACTTGTGCCACGGCAGGTGTAGACGCCTGTAGGGGTAGCGACTGCACGGGATACACGAGTGGCCGAAGATCCTTCGCTGACGTTGCTGCAACTGCTCCAGCGTTGGGTCGTGGGAGGATCTTTTGAAGTGGAGCTGAAAAGGAGGCGTCGGCAGGTTCGTCGTGAGCAACAACGATGCTACATTACGCTGGCGAGCCACCACACACAACTCACAATACAACCTAGCTTAGCATAGGTCATAGAGCCTAAGCCACTAAGCGACGGAAAAACCAAACGTGAATTCACCAGGCGCTGTCACGCCTTTTTTCAGTTGGCACCTCGTGAAACAGCGCATCAGCGCACCCACGTGCACGACCTTGAAGAACACCTGCTCTTCGCGGCGCCGATTGGTCAGGCCGCGACAGCCAATGAAAAGTGCCCGTGCGGTTGATTTGCTGACGTTCACCACGTTGGCGAGGTGTGGATTTGAATGCGCGACTGCTAGCAAACCCCAAGACTTGTGGCAATAAAAAATCACCCGGAAAAAAGCGGCTTCACGTGAAGAGAATCGCGGAAAATGTAACCCGAGGGTATTTTTATGATTCATGGGGCAGGCGTCTCGACTGATATGCCTAGACAAAAAGTAGGACACACAGAAAAATTGGCGCGCTGATTGAACTCAGCGGGTAATTGTTTTGTTTAACAGAAAATTGCTGTAACGTCGTGAAAGAGAACCCGCGGTGAGGGCCTGTTTACTTGTAGGCAGGCGGTAGTACCTAATAATGCCACGTGCCCAACTTGAGTCTAACAAAGCACACTCACTAAACGAGGGAAGAAACAGTTGATGCTGCCACTGACAAAGGGAAATTCCTCTTGCGTCAGTAAAGGCGGATGAAAAAGAAACAGCCTACTGCAAATTTCCCGCCACTAATTAACCCACCACACAGAAAAGGGGGCGTAGAATTCACGGTGGAAAATTGGAATCGACTGATGGGTGATTTAAGGTGACTGGAGCGCAGCAATACAACAAGGACAACGTGAAATCCAACTTCGCTGTGCTGTCAACCGGGTTTATTTTGACACGCGTTAATCCGATTGGTCAGTTCTTCGGCACGCTGCTGCTCACTCCTCCCTTTTTCACACCTCCAAGTCTCATTGGTGTGAACGAGCGTCGGAGACTATCGCTAGGTGTGATAATGAAACTCAAAAGGTCTCAATGACTCATGCTGTTTCACATATCTAAGCTTCAAATACACACGACATAAACTTGGTTGAGCTCTGAAGTAAACGAGATCAGAGACTAGGAAAGTGGTGTTTTGCCACAAACCAGAGAATGACTAACCTGGTCTGTTTGAGGGAGGCACTCGTTGGATGAGATGGTTACCCGACGACTGGATAGAAGACAGTCTTGGCTGCACACTGATGTACGAGCTGGCCTGGAGGAGTCGCGATTTGGCCAGCACGCTGCCGAGGCTGGAGGGAATCAGAGTGGAGGTCGAGGGTGCGGGCCGGGGCGGGCTGATGAGGGCGGCGGTCATCAGTGGGGCCTCTTCTTGTCGAATCGTTTCCGATGCGGCAGGGGCGACGGCGGGGGCCATGGCAACATGTTCGGTGTTATTTGGAGCGGGAATTAGCGGGGAGAAGTGGGCGGGCGTGGGAGCAGCGAGTTTGGTAGGGGTAATGAGAGGAGCAACCGACTCCTTGGGAGGCTTCACGGCGAGCGGAGGAAGCGCGGCCCGTTTGCGCACGAGGATGGGCGTGGAGGTGGCGGCGGTGTTGGCCGATTTGCGGGGCAGGAGGCGGCGATTGCGTGGCGCCGTTGACGTCGACTGCTGCGCCTCCTGGCTGCTGGCCTCGGCGGTGGCCTGCTTAACAGACAGGCGCGCCAGGGTGAGTAAGTCGGCGTTGGCCGAGGCGTTGGGACTCAGGTCAGAGCTAGAGTCGAGTTCGTTGTTGGATGTCATCACGGTGACGGGGCTGGAGGTTGTGACGGCAGCGTTACCCGACGACGATGACGACGACGACACGGTAACGCTTTGAACAAAGGGGTACACCAGAGGCTGTGTAGACTGTGGCTCGTCGACCTTAGTAACGACCTTCGGAACTAGAAGGAGGGTGAAATGGTTGAGTTTATGTTCCGAAAGAAACTGCCGAAACAATTAATTGGACACTTCTAATACTCGAATCTCACAGGCTCACAAATTTTTTGATTCTCATGGATGAAAAATCGAGATTTTAAGACTCTGAATTCGCAAACAGACTCCAGGGTAATTGGCGATTATAAATTATTTTCACTGTCTGTTTAAAGGGCCATAAATTAGATAAAAAGAAAACAGATCAGTCACCGTAATGCTTTAACTTCGTGGGCTCTTGACTATTCGATTCAGAGTAACAAAAATCGATATTTTAAGGCTCTGATTTGGAAATAAAGCTCCCGGTTGGTCGAAATTCAAGGCCACACACAAGTAATGCTTGAGCCTCGTTGGCTCATTACTATTCAATTCAGAATAACAAAAATCGATATTTTCAGTCCCTGATTTGAAAATTAAGCTCACTATCGGTCGAAATTCAAAGCCACACGCGAGATAGTTGAATTAGTGCTTAAACTGGACACGAGGCAAGGCTTCGTCATTTGTACAAAGAACGTGCGAACACGTGTGTGTTGAAGCGAAGTAAATTACAAGCTTGGAGCTACCTACAACCTCCGACCTCGCCAACGTTGTATCAACGCTCTCAATCGCATCAACACACGATGCAGACGCAAAAAAACAGTTTCACGGACGAGGTGACGCTCAGAACACAGAAACTGCCCGAACTCCTTGCAGCAGCTGATTCTTCGGAAGTACGCAGGCAGAGGGCAATTGTCAACAGTTGCCTACGTGAAGGTGGGTTGAATTGACGGAGTTAGTTATGTGTGAAAACTCGGGAATGTGAGCTAACGCGAAACCTGCTTGTCGCGTCGAGGTCTCTTCGAAAAGGAGACATCCCGGGGGGAGGGGGTAATATCGCGACGGTGTGGCGCGATCAGCACTCACCGGAAACACCCCTCTGTTGGCCGCCATCAGAGAGAAGGGTTGAAGGCGAGGTCTGCAGGACGGTGTTCCTGGTGGCCACGGTGGGCTGCGTCAAGGTCACTGTGGCCGGGGCCTGAAGCGGGGTGCCTGAGGGCGTGGTCTGTTGTGCCTTGGCAACGGCAGCCGACTGCATCAGCTGTTTGAGCGTCTCTATGGCAGCCTCCGTGCTTGCCGAGTGCGTTGACAACTTGGACGCGACCGATGCTATTGTCTGCGCGACGTCTGGTGTAGTGCAGGACGCAGTTGATGAGGATATGAATACTAGAGGTGAGAAATTCGTGAGGCAATGAAAGGTATAACCACCACTGGCCACCGCCCTTTAGCTGTCAACACGCCAACAAATAATAATATTAATCTAACATGACTACTAATAATGATGAGTAGTGTAACATTGTTTCGAAGCTCCTGGTTAGGCTGAATCGAAACTACTGTATTTGTGCGTTTAAATACAACCTTAGCTGGCGAGGAGCGCGTGAGAAGATACTCCCGTTGAGGGACGACTTTACGAAAAGACATTTGATCGATTGGTGAAGGTCTGGAGGTTGGTGTTGCGCAAACGCTTTAATCGATGTGACAAATTTCATTGGCTAGGCTTCTGACCAATCAAATCGCGACAAGAGGCAAGAGCTATAATTTAACGCCGTGCCGCCGGCATAATTCAAGTTTGATAAATACAACAATGGAATATCATGGATCAAGCCTGTGAACAGATGGTGGTGCTCATTGGTAGTTTGCCAAGTCAGACTACACCAAGGGTATTACGCGAAACCAGAACTCGTTGATACACAAAACGCGTCCCCCACAGCTGTTTTATGCTGATTTCGAATTCAAAAAAGCGATATTTAGAATACAATCTGTCGTTTAACACAAGGACTACTCATCAGTACTGAACGCGTGTTCTAAAAACCGGATTAGAGGTGAAATGAACTCAGAGTTTACTGATTCGAGTACCGGCCTCATGAACACACGCTAGACGACTGTTGTCACGATGCGGTGGACAATTAAACAACCACCAGGCAGAATTTTTTTGAAGACAGAAGCCCTTCCACACCACGAATGCTGCGATCAATGAATAGACACCCAGATCTGCGGAAGATCCGGCGTCGCGAATTCGGACTACTTGATCGGGTTGATTGGTGAACGACACAGCTGCCTGCCGAAACACGCAAACTTGGCCCTCAACGCTGGAGGTGGTCGATAGCCAATAGCAGAAGAGAGCTGACAGCCAGCCAATGGCTGCGCCGGTACCGCTAAATGGCGGTGAAACATGGACCAATCAGGGGACAGGCAAGCGGGTTGGCATACGGCGTCGAGATAAAACTCAGCCTTCGTTCTAAGTCATCGAAACGTTGGTTGGTAGGGGGGGAGGGGGGTATTAAAAATATCGACATTGTTTTTAAGGTCATCTTTCCTCCAAAAGTGTATGTGTGTGTGTGTGTGGGCATTTACGTCTGCCGCGTATTGCAGATTTAGCATCCACGTTTGAGGCAGACTTCACGCCTAAACAAAGACCATGGCAGATTATCAATTTCTAGGTTGAGAGGGCGCTACAGGCAGCTCAATATTGATGCACCATCTTGCCTAGACGTCCGACTAACCTGGTAGTTGCTTGGCATGGGCTGGAGTGTAAATAGAGGCACTGTTGATGAGAATGGGGTCGGGTGCAGCAGCCACCGCTGCTGCTGATGAAGATGATGATGGCGGTGTGTGTGATGGAAGAAGCAGAGCCTGGCCGCCCGTGGGGAGACTGGTTTGTAGCTGGCCGGAGACAGCGGCCGCGGCCAGAGCTGCGAGCACCGGCTGGGGTGGTTGTGGAGCCGGAGCCGCACCGCCTGGCAGCTTGGGAGGCACTGGCGAGATCTGAATGTAGTGGCCGGCTGACGAGGCTTGTGGCAACACCGCAGAGGAGATGCGAAGACCCAGGCTGTCTGCGTTGACACGAGCAGCGTTTGAGGTGGCGACGTCTCAAAAAAGCAGTCGAAAACACTCATTAATTTACAGAATACCTGGGAGAGACGTCGTTACGGCAATTAACCGGTCGCGAGATTAGAAAAAATGAGCCATTAGGATCAAAATAAGCAACCAATAGGGCACTTTTTTACACCAATGAATTCAATTGCCTAAATAGGCAAATTCACACGGCTAGAAAAGACTTTTTGCTGCGGATTACCGACACATTACCTGCAAAACAAAGACACGGCAGCATTGCGACCCGACCCACTTAATCAACGGAATCAACTGCTGGTTTTCGAGTTAAGCCACTATGCATAATGTCAATTTAACTGCCCAACGGTATGCGGTGATTGCGACAAATCTCGCCGTAACGTAGGAACTAACAGATGACCCACAACGGAAGAAACTCAATGTGTGCGACGGCAACAATTAACCGCCCACGTGATTGGTCAGTTAGACTTCACAAATAACACGTGTGATTGGATGATTTGAAGTGGTAGTATGCACCTAGCGAAGTCAATCTACATCGTTGTAGTTAAATATAAAATGTAGGAAAGGAAATACCAATAAATGAGGGCGAAGTTATTGGTGGGGTGCATTAGTGTCTTAAATTGAGGACGCACTGAAAATGAAGCGCATCATTTTTTTTCGAAGCACAAACACATGACAACTTTTGGTGATACAAAAGACAGGCACTCTGGAGAAGCCACTAACGATTGACGCAGATCTGGTTTGCCAAGATTCGTAAAACGACACATCCACTGAAAGAGCATCGTTTGATGATTGGTGGCCAGAAGCTAGTTGAAACGATAAAAGCCGGAAGTATAACCAATCAGATTGCAGATGCACCAAGGAAGCATACACAGCTTCAGTGAGACCTTTTGACCTCTAACAAGTGCTGTTGCGACATAAATTTCACCCACTACATTATCGTCACTAAAGGACGGTGTCAACCAATCACAGTGAGGAAGATCAACGAGAATCGATTACCATCCAGAAATGTGACTGGTCCATTCTACACTCTGTTACAGCAGTCTAGTTGAAAGTATTTACCGGTAGCTGACACAGTACTTGTCATGACTAAGGCCAACATACCTATCAAATAGAGGGAACGATGCCAAGGTGGGAAATCTAACAATTCTACGAAGTTAATTTTTTCGCAACATGTATCTAAATAGAGACGTTTACGAAAGGTAATTAAACGTGACTTGTCTACCGGGAGCGTCCGATCGTGGGGCGTCGTCATTGGCTGAAACACCAGGCGAGCAACCAACCAATGGCTCGCGGTAGCGTCAAGGCTATTGGCTGGCCAGGTGGATACGTCACGACAGGAAGAGGACAGGCGCTATGGTGGGGCTCGCAGGGTGTTTGGAGTGTCGGATAATGGAAAGGGGAGTATTGGGCCTAAACAAACATTGCCAATCATGAGACCGCTAAATGACAATTTGATGACGTTTAAATTGAGCTCAACAACTCGCATCACTCGACTGAACGCGTGAGGTGGGGACATTAATAACGGTTGCAGACTTGTTGATGATAGATTTAAGGTTATTTAATCGACCGGAAATTGGGTCAAAACAATTAATTTTATGTTAAACCCAGGCGTAGTAAGAGCTTTTTGCACAAAGATAGCTGGAAGTCCTAAATTGTTTGCTTTTAAGCCCTAGATTAATGAGCTCAATAAAACCTAGTTTAGTGTGAGTCTAAATTGAGATTATTTCAGCGGGGAAAACTATCCACTCGGAGCGAGGTGCCAGTAGATACGTAAAGAGCTTAGCTTCAACTCGTAAAAAATAGACATTAGAAACAGCTAATTAGACACCCCCACATGAAACACCAGTAAACAACTAAAACTGCTGTAAAAACCGACCCAGTCGATACCAAAATTAGTACAAAGATAGCGAGCAGTAATTGGCTGGCCGCGAGCCAATCATGGCGGAAAGCAGTGTCACCACGTTGCAGTACCAGCTGGCGAGCCTCGGCGAAAAGCCAATGGCGTGGGGATTGAGCAACGCTGAGCACGCACGGACCAACGGGCGCACGCCGTGGCTTAACGCACACACCAACGCCAGCCGCCTATTGGCTGGTTTGTGTGGAGTTGCAAACAAACCGTCGCTCATGGCTGAAAAAAATTCACCACACCGATAATGAATAATTTAATCCAGATTTGAGCCATTGGTGAAGGTTAACTAGTGTAGGGCTCTTAAGCAACCGAGAGAAGATCAGGTGTGCTGCGAAATAGGTTCTGTGTACTACCAATTGCCATTGGCAACATCACCAAAATTTAATACAGAGATATGACTCCAGAACAGATTAGTTAACCACGTAGTGTGAAAAAAGCGAGCATAGCCAAGGTGCATTGTAAGCAGCTTCAGATCTCCGCTTCAATGTATCACGCAGTTAACTTGAAAATTGGCTTCTTAACGAAGCAACGAGTTATTTTACAATGTTGCCGGAGAATGAGTATGACCATGAAATCGACTTGATCTCTGTGACATACGCGCATTACTACGGAATTCATAAGAGAACATGAAATAAAGCGACCATTTCCTCGCAATTTCAGATGAAATATCGTGAACTTAAAGCCAGATACACCCACCACTGCGTGAGTAGATGGAGACACTCCAGAGGGAATTAGGAACAAACACTTAAATGGGCCACAGTCTCTCCAGCACTGAGGTACTTGGCGTAATGCCAATCGAACAATCAAATATTCGCGTCACCGATCACCCCCTACTCTACATGCAATTCAAAACTATGGCTAAATTGACTGCTGCGTAAGCCAATTTGCTCGAAATTAGACTGTGCGAAACAATATTAGGTGTGCATGCTGGTTGACTGTGTGAACGCGCTAACCGATTTGCTAGATTCAGGAATCAAATGCGCGCGTTTGATTGGTCAGCCAATAGGCCACATGAAATTCCAAAATTGCAGGACTCTGATTGGTTAGCACAACCAATAGCGAGAATGGCGCTACTTTCGGATTAAGAAACACTTAGGGTGCGAATAAATGGTATAAATCACTCAGTATATGCGAGTGTGATGGAGTGAAAATATATGGGTTAATGTGGAAACTGGAGTAGATACGAAGCCTTGCTCACAATTGCGAATAATTGCGGCAGTAGCTTGGGCCAAGGAGTAATTTAAACCATCGATAGAATTTGATGAGAAACTTAGATGAACTCGACGGAGCCTTCCACATCAGCAATAGATCGAGAGATTAATGAATAAAAAAATGCTCATTTCCTATTAGAAACGTGATACACGAGTAACGGGTACCTCGTACATACTTAAAGTTACAATTGGTGGTCAATTTAAAAGTCAGTAGATGATGGGTATCAAAAGAAAATTTGAGACAACTCTCATACACGTCAATCACTACAGCCACAAAATTACAAATATCCGTGTAAAATGTTACTAGAACCAAAAAACGTGCAAATTAGTTTGCCACCATTCAGGCCTGCCAACTTGCCAAAAAACTACTTCGAAATTTACGCCAAAAGGCTCAATTAAAGCAAAACAGGAGGAGGATTCGGCACAAGACATCGCCGCCAGTCAACACCCAGGAACTTCAGACTTGGGAAAATTACACAACTCAGTATCAAAGGAGAATGTCTTTCGACTATGATTTAGGTATTGGAACGAACTAACACGTGAGCATTCCAAAAAGAAAAAAAATTGAAATTGAAATAATGAGGAGCTTGTTGAAAAGAGAAAATAATAGTTCTTTAAATTTGAATTAGGCAAAAAAGAACTGAAAGGGCTCCCGTTCAGTGAATAAGCTTAATCCAAAAAAGGGCTTTAGAACGGAGCAAATAGAAAATATTCGGAGCGAAATACATGTCGCTGAGCCAAAAGATTATCGTTAATGCTAGAAATTTCGAAAAAAACCGAATAATGAAATGACGAACAAAAACAGTTCGGTTGAGAATCGATTTGACTTACCAGAACGGAGTTCAGATGACGCGGAGTTAGGAACCAATGGGAGAATCGGGTGATAGTGAGTATCTGGCTGGGGCTGCGATGCCATACAACTGACTTCTTTCTTCAAAAGATTATTTTCTTCTTTCTGTTGAGTAGACTTATCGCCAGTTAAAATGTCCAGGACAATTGTGCAGAAGTAAATAAATTCAGTCTGAGAAAAACGTGATAAAAACCAAAAGCAGACAAATACCTGTTTAAAATTCTGTCCGTGGTACCGCGCGGCATGTTCAGACAACAGAGTCAAATCAGAACTCGTCGTGTGAGAACTGAAGCGTGTCGTAAGGCATGTAGGGCAGGTATATATTTTTAATGATGGGAATGTTTCGCTTTCATGGTAAATTCGGAGGTGTGAAACGAGGTCAATGGGATTTGAGAACTTTTTGCGGCAACTCGCCAAAGGACATATAACGATGCATTTACCGGGGCACAAGTATGCGTCAACAGAATTTAAAGCAGAAAAGCCCATAGGAATGTCTAGATCTTCGTCCTCATCAACTGCAGGCATTGGTTCAAGTTGAGGAGGGTCTTGATGAGTTGGGCTTAGACTGTTTTCTCTCTGCGGTGACTTTCGACCATTAACTGAGTCGGAGTCACGTCGTCTGAGTCGTTTGGTGGCAGAATTTGTCTTAGTCTCCTTGGTACGTGGTCTTCCACGAGTCCGTTTTGCTCCGGATTTAGCATTTTCAACTTTTCCAGTTCTTCCCATGCTCTTCACAGGTAATTCAATGGTTTTTGAGGAATTTACTGTCGGCCTTTCCTTGGAAAACGATTTTCGCTGGGAGAAGTTACTTGTGGAACTAATATGAACATACCAAAGAATAGTGCGGCTTCCTCATATCCTTCATTAGAACAACCGCTACAGCAAAATGAAGATATGGCGAAAAACCAGACACCTACCAGTAAGAAAAAGCCAAAGTACTATTGGTTAACCGGTTAACCTATCGTTCATCAACAGATGAGGCAATCAAACCAATTAAGTGCGACACAGCTAGAGCGAAAAACAGGCGTATTTTCTCAGGCATAAAGTAAAACAAAATCAAGGTAATATTACCTAACGCATCTTCGCCATAAATCAAATAAGTTTTCGATGCAATAAACAGCGAATAAATAACGATACGCAAGTTGTATGAATAAAACTGCGTTCATGACAAAAATACTACAATTTCTGGATTAAAGTTTAATTATAAAAAGCGACAGATTTTTCCCTATTAACTGAGAATTTTCTGTTATATTTCAAGCAAAACGCTTGCTAAATGTTTACATTTAATGTTTTAATTACACTTGCTTGTCACAACTTTAATAAGTTCTAACTTCTCAACAATAAATTAGGTCAAAATTTGCCAAATAGGAAATTTTATGTTATATTTCTGAATGCTTAATTCTCTAGTTCTAAAATGGTTTATAGATAAAATATATAGGCTAAAATCACAGACCAAATTTTATCACATTTTTGCCAATTCTTTAGAGATCAAGGGAAAAAACGTCACCAATTTATCCAACGTTAAAAATATACGCATCGAATTGTATCATAGGTTTAAACCACTAGATAGCTTTCATCTGTTTGCTTTATTAACGGCAATCAACGTTTTTTTATTAACCGGCGAGCATTTTCATTGGCAAAAAATATAGCTTAACCAGTGCTAAGATAAACCCGATGCTTCCTTAATAGTCACGCTTATATTTAGCGCTAAGTTTAATAAGTCATCATGTAATAATCTAACTTAAATGCGGAATTCCTTTTGCTCTTTACGTTAAAATTTGGGCATGCACTTATGGTTAAAATACTGAGTGCCGATATCCAATGTACATTTCTTTTTGGCCTTCCACCGCCCATAGCGACGCGATTTGAGATCAGCGAGAGCACAGTAGAATGTTTACCAAAATCTGTCTTGCGCTTAAAATTATGATAACGACCCTAGTAATTGCTGAGCCAAGTAGTCATAAAATTTGTCGCTAATTTTAAAAGCACTCCAACGCAGGAGTTTGCCGATGTTTGTTGACTAGGTGGAGTTTAACCACGTGATTACTACTTTGGATAACATCATTAGAATTAACTGATTAGATGAATACTCTCAAAGGAATTACTTCGTGAACAACCAAAGCGTACATCTCTAATGATGCCTTTTCCAAACGCAAATGGACTGCCGCAAGTCACACTTGTTTAAGTGGATTTCTCATGGAGTGATCCACTGCGGTTAACACAATGTCGCTCAAAATCTAGCAGATTGTTTTCAACAACAATACCCAAGGCCGTTTGGACCACGGAGAGCGGAGCTCAGTAAGACAAAAGCTCGCACGAAACTTTACTGGAAGCGCACCTACGCAAATACACGAGGAGGAGGAGGTGGAGGAGAAGGTGTAAGAGATAGAACCAACTCAAAAGGGGGCAAAGAGGTCTGCAAAGTTACGAAGACCAAAAATGAGGCGAGGAAAACACGTGGCCTAATGCAAGTGCGCTGACCGACTGCGCTAGGGAATGCAGGAAAAGGGGGGATAGGCATAAAGGCAACACATACACACACACACACAACCCAGACTACGAGGAGGCAGTCTGGGGAGAGGGTTCCAGTGAATTAACGTTTTCTCGTGGAGACGACTGGCGTTGCGCTGGCTTTGGCGGAAAAGCCTTCCTTGCGAGGGGCGCCATGAAGGGCCAAAGGAGGTAGATAAAGCCTACCCAGTAGACCGAATTGAAGACCTGCAGGGGAGAAGGAATGTATGATTATCGGTCCTCGCGAAGGAGCGCATTCAAACAACAACGCGCGCACTGATGAAACTGCTGACGGAATACTTCGTTAAAACAAGCATTATCAGTGCTCAATTTTTATACAACCCAGTTCCGATTTGACACAGTTGTCTGAACACGCAGCACGATACCATGGACAGTCATTTAAGCACGTATTTCCCATCTTTAGGTTTTTTAGTTTTACACAAAAAAAAAACAACAAAAATTGTTGAAACTGCTAACGGCATGCATCCTTGAAAAAAAAACGATACTTGAGCAATTGAAGGGTAAAATGCTTCAATAAAACACGTTTATGAATATTCACTGGTAAAAGTACATGTGCATTATAATTGACCCAGTAGTACGTTTGTGTGTGCGTGTTAACACACGAAGAATGGATACATTTCAGCCAAAAATAAACCAACTGTTCTATTGCCACTGTGTGTTGATGAGGAATTTTGGCACTACGAAGAAAACCCATATTGCTTTCTCGTTTTCGTGTGCAGTGGTTTAGTGCAGTTGCTTTCTTTTCTGGTGGCGCGAGCCACGTGTGCGCGAAAACCCACTTCCACCGACAACGTGCTACCTTTGGGATCGTTCTACACACAAGGAACACAATTTTGTGAGGCACAACAACTTTTGCTAACAACACGGTGATTTCAAACAATCAAGGCAACAGGGTAATTACGAGAGTTTGAGTCTAACTCCCCATAAACTCGTCTTGACTCGAAAAATTTCACACGAGTGAAACAGAGGTCGTGATAGTGTGCGTCGGCCCACGTTTACCTGCTGTTCTTCCGCAGTGTCGACACGCGTCCCGCAAGCAAATCTACGCATAATTCAGTGTTCATTCTGCGTACCAATCTCATGCGAAAAATGACGCAGACTGAGATTGGTAGTCAATTGACGCGGTTTTTGCTTTTGTGTTTGTTTAATTGCACAGCTGATCTCATAAAACTGAACAGATGCTCTAATACCTGGGAGGTGACCGTTTCCCGATCATGTGGCTGCCAGCGCGACTGCGTGAAACGATTTAAAGACGGCGTCCGCGATTGCTGTTAAACCAGTATTCGACAGACTGTACTTACATTCGACTATTGTATTGGTCGAAAGCAAATCAAGGTCACAATCAACCAATCATCAATTAGAGATGACGTCGTTCAAGGAGAGAACGACAAACCGACTCACCGGGATCCACAATGAGGCCCGAAGGAGCGAGAAGGCTACAAGGGGGCAGGCGAGGATGAAGAAGACGTGCAATTTGCCGACAACCGTGGTGATTATCTGGCCCAAGAGCGTCTCGTAGAGGAAATCCGCGTAGATGGACTTGTGCACGATGGCCAGGAACTGGGTGTTTTAAGGACACAAAAAAACGAGACCGGTTAGGGACGTGGAGAGGCAGTTTGGGTGACCTTGGAGGCGCGTGAGAGTAAAGAGGTGTACACGTCAGGGTTCTCATCAAGAATTGGCAAAAAAGAACCCAAGTGAAAAGTCCGCCATTATAGGGACCCACACATTCCCGTAAGGTCACGCACACACACACGCACGCTAGCTGAAATTAAAAAGCGCGCGGTAACGAGCTGATACGCACGACCGGATCAGAGACAATGCGACATCGATGAAGGGATAGCACAGGAGCGCGGTGACTAGATTGGACTTACAATGGTGTTTCAATTTCGTAAAAAACAGACATTCCCCGGGAGAAAATTCTCAAAGTGAACTGAACGCAATCGAAACGAAACTTGACACTAGAAAAGTGCAACCACGATTTATCGCTGTGTGAATAAATCATCTGGTTTGACACCTCGTTATAGCACATAAATATCACTTCTTAACGGCGACACCTGAATCGATTTCCGGTTTCAACGATGGCACCGGTAACCTAGATAAAGACACTGAGTTAGAGGAGGGTTAAAGAATTTACGCGAAAACGAGGAGAAAGTGGAAAACATGGGGGAAAAAAACGATGTGGAGGAAATTTTGACGCAGAAAACGGATGCCGCCATTGGAGGGAATTTTCACCAAGGCGGTGGGAGACGACACGGAAACTCACATCACTAATGACCAATTTGGCAGGCACCTAACACCTAGCTGACGGAAAGATTAATCGAACCGATCAGTGTGAAACACCGTCACTGTGCCAGATGCCGAACCTGTACTTTGATGGGCAAATTTGGCGTACATGTACTTTAAAGTCCGTGGCGTCAGGACTTCAATAAACCCTGGAATGCCACACCCGACCTGCCAGCTCTGGAATTGAGATCGTGTCAGAGCTGTCCAACACACGATGCAGACAGACGACACTTTGCACGAAGCATTATCGGGCTGAATTCTCACAATATAACCAACACAATTAGTTACTCGGACAGTTTTAAGGCATCCAACCATAATCATTCAGAGTTTTGATTAAATTTGACGCCAAACTTGCATGGCATGACTCAACGCGTTGTTATGCAGTTTAGCTCGATGTTCATTGTAACCCCACGGGATCATCGAACAGCTAGCGACTCCTGTGAAATCGAAAACAATGCGTCACCATGCCCAGAACTTCAATAATGGGTAAATGTCTCCAATGGAGCGATTTGCAGAACGAAGCAGGAAAAGAACACCTTAATCCCACCAAGGACAATCTGTAACAACTTCCAAA